GCTATATCTTTTGATAGCCAGGCACCATCAGCTTTCTTCACCACATTTGTTTATTCACCCGCTTTGTCTTCAGCAGTTGTGTCGGGAAGGTGAGCTTGATAGGAATTATATGCTCACAAAGGGCGATCCCACAGAGGTTGAGAGGACCTCGCCACCATCAAGAAGTTCTGGAGCTAAGGGAGTCTTTGGCTCTGGGGTCCTGTACTGAGAACCTCCTAGATCAGAGAGAGAGAGAACTGTAACACTGAAGAGAGCAAGAGCGAGCAGGAGACAATAGCAGTAACACCAACAGTGGGGATCAGGAGAGCATCAAGAGGTAGCTACCGTGGACTTGCCAGCCCACATCTCGTGAAAGACCTAAGGCTTGCTGGCACAGTGAGGTGCTTCTAGGCACTCATCAGTGAGATATCATCAATGACTACGACCCTTCTAGTCATAATTCCTTATGTGATGCCTTATCATTCTGGACTCTATGCCTGAGGCTATAATACAACTTTGAAAAATGTTTTCTGTTACAGGACTAGAGTGGGCAGCATCTTTAAGACCTCGTTACAAGAGGGTGTGACTTAAGGCAGGATCCTTCTTGAAAGATAAAAAGCACACCTCCATCAAAGCCATTCCTTGGTGTGTAAGAGAAATCTTGCACACAGAGAGAAATCCCAGGACCATGGGAAGAGCACACTCCAGATCTATCGGGAGGCTGAGACCAGATGCCCCAGAAACAGTGACACAGACACTGTGAGGAGCAGCAGCTGAGACAGGGGTACCTTCTCCTACTCTGGCTCTAGGCTATGGGACTGTCAGGCAGAACAACAGGAGAGCTGGCTTCTGGCCCACTAAGGCAGAGGCCAAAGCACCACATCACTGAGAGGCTAAGGATGGGAGAGAGACTTGAATGTTGGCAGCAAGGAAGTGTTGCTGTGAACCAGTGACTGTATCCTTACTGTTTACCAATCCTGACTTATGGTAAACTATTAATTTCGCTTATACTCCCCACCATTGTATTACCTATGGCTTCTGTGTGGCATAGAAATAGAGTGCCGGGGGAGGCGGGGATGGTTGGTGTCAGAATAGGGTAAACAGGATAAAGCATGGAGACACATCTGATGTTTGTTTGCCTCTTGGCAATAGGGAAGCCAGAGTAGGTCACAAATGGCCTCCCAAGTCATTCACAGCAATCAGCAATGCTAAAGAGCTCTAAGACTTGCCGGGCCAAGGCCAAGGCAGTAAGCCCAATTGGGACCCAGCAAGCACGAGGGAAGGGCCTGCCTGTGGGTGCACCTGAGAAAAAGCTGAGAGCTGACTTGGCTGAAAGCTGTCCGATTGAAGAAGTGCATCCTGTCACCTGGTACCTCCAAGTTCATTCTGACCCTAAGTTGTAAGCTGTTATGGTGTTGGTAAGCACTTAGATCCTAGCAGATTCCCACCAGTGGCTCAGCAGGAGAAACATAGGGCAGTCTGCTCCTGCAAAGGTTTACAACCTTGGAAACACTCCAAGGCAATTCTATTCTGTCCTATGGGGTCACTAGGAGTCATGCAACTTGGCTCTTGTACCCAAGTGAGATCAAATCACACCACTATAATAAAGTTAAAAGCCTTTATTTCAGCCAGAAAACACTCTCGACCTTGAGCGAGCAGCAAAATCAGGTTTTATACAGTAGTATAAATATAGTATAACAGCAGGGAGTGGGGTCCCTCAAAATATCTGGAAAGGTCAAGGGGAAACATTTGCTCAGAGTATCAGGAGGGGCCACGGGGGACATCTGCTGGTGGTCTAGGGTCACTACAATAGCAATGTGTAACAGGAAACCACTAATATACCACCTCTCTGTGAGTTCTGTGTGTAGGTCCTTTATGGCCACTGCAATGCATTAAGTATTGAACTTTGAAGAGAAATTGACTGTCATGGGGAGGGCAGCTGATCCAGAATTAGTAAAAAGGTCTGAGAGTAGAGATTGTCTTACCTTCATGTGATAGGAAGCAGGCTATCAGGAAGACTTGGTGTCAGAAGAAAGTAAAGAAGGATGAGAACGGAGGCGTATTGGACCCTTGCCTGTAGGCAAGAGGAAAATCAGAGGAAGTCAGACATAGTCTCATGCTGTGATCTTGATTCTCATTCTACCTCTGAAAGTTAAATGACACCTGAAGCTACTGCATTGGTAGTGGTGGTGGTGGTGGTAAGTGCTCTGGAATCAGTTCTGATTCATGCTGACCCTGTGCACAACATAAGGAAACACTGCTCAGTCCTGCAACATCCTCACAGCCGTTCCCATGCTTCGTCCCATGGGTGTAGCCACCATGTCAGTACATTACTTGTGGATCTTTTTCATTGGCCCAGGCATGAGGTCCTTCTCCAGGAACTGGCTCCTTCTGATTCTATGTCCAAAGTACAAAGGATCATCTCACCATCCTCACTGCTAAGAGGAATTCTGACTATATTTTTTCCAAGATAAACTTGGTGGTTCTTCTGACAGTCCATGGTATATCCATTTCAACACTACTGTTTGAACAATTTAATTCTGCTTTCATCCATCTTATTAATTATCCAGCAAATGTGGTGATTAAAAATACCATTACTTGGGCCATGATTCCCTTAATCTACAAAGTGAAATATTTCCTTTTAACACCTAGGAGAGGTCTTCTGCAGTTGATTTGCCTAACGCACTGCATCATGGGATTTCCTGACTGCTTGCTTCCATGAGTGTTGATGGTGGACCTAAGTACAATGAAATCCTTAACACTTCAATCACTTTTCTGAATGTACAATGTTGCTTATTGGTCCAGATGTCAGAGTTTCGGTTTTCTTTATAGTGAGGTACAATCCATATGAAAGGTTCTAGACTTTGATCTCCAATAAATGCTTCAAGTCCTATTAGCTTTCAGCCAGCAAGGTTGTGTCATCTTCCTGTGGCAGGTTGCTAATGGGTCTTCCTTCATCTTGCTGTGGTATTCTTTAGAGTCTACCTTCTTCAGCTATTTGCCCAGCACACAGATCAAACAAGTGCAGAGAAAGGAGACAACTCCAATGCACACATCTCCTCCTTTTAAACTTGGCTTATCTACTTGTTCTGTTTGAGCCAATGCCTCCTGAACTATGGACAGGTTCCTGGTGAGCACATAATTTCCATTCTTCACAATATTATCCATAATTTCTCATGATCCACACAGTAGAATGGTTTTGCAATAAAACACAAGCAAACATCTTTCTCCTATTCTCTGCCAAGATCCATCACAGGGGCAGTAATATCCCTGGGTTCATGCCTTCTAGAGAATACAGACTAGGAGACAGCCTAGGGCAGTTGTGATCTGAAACCAACTCTAGAGTTTGTGCACCACCCCATCCTTGCTTCCCTAAGCACCACTCCACCCTGACTGGTTCGATAGGTCTCTTCAAGGGTGGCAAGGAGCAGATTTCAAAACGTTTGTGGCAAACTTCCTTTATCTTTTCAATCCGTTATCCCACGAACCATATTCTGTTTGTATATCGCTAACAAACAATATCTTCTTTCTACACCCTTTACACGGAAAATTCAGTTGACAGTAATGATATTCGTGTTGTTTAACCATACACCTTAACTGTTCACAAATTTTCCATCATCCTAACAGAAGCGGAGTGTTCCTTAAAGGTCCTCTTCCATTCCTCTGCTCTCCTGCCTCTCCTCACAGCCAGCGAGTGGCTGCGACTCCTGGGGACCCAATAGCACAGGATAAAACTGCCCGGGAGTTTCCAAGACTAACAATTTGAGGGAGCAGAAAGCGCCCTAATTCTCCACCAGGCCAGAGGAGGTTTTTGAACTCTGCTTCCAGGGCTCCTTTACCCACCCTGGTCACCGTAGTAAACGTTGTCTCCACATCGACTTGCCTATTGGAGATGCTTCCTGTAAGTGTGGCCATGCAACGCCTGTCCTTTGGTAAGTGACTTATTTTATTCAGCAAAATTTTCAAGGTTCATTTCTTTTGCAGCGACACTAGAAACAGTTCAGAGCATACTTGGGCAAATCTGAAGGCGCAGTGGTGAAGATTCAGATCTACCGGAGAGTTGAAAGGTTCACAGTCCAAAAGGTCCTTTGCTGAAAGGGGAGCCTTGGCTGTCACTGGAGCATTAGGCGGGGTTCTGCAAAGTCAGCCCAGAAGGCTCCCTTGGGCATTGGGGGCAGAAGCCTGAGTCCACACGGGGAGGCGGGGCTTCCTAGCAGAGCGCGGAGGCTTTGCGCATGCGCGGCTCCTGACCACGTCCCGCGCTTGCGCGTACGCAGCCTTCTCCAGCAGCGGCGGTCTGAACCTGCAGACGGCTCCGCTCTCGGCTAAGGTCTCCGGGTCGCTGCTTCTCGCCGCCGCTCCACCTGCAACCATGACCTCCTGCAGCCGCGTGGCGCTGGTGACCGGGGCCAACAAGGGCATCGGCTTCGCCATCACGCGCGAGCTGTGCCGGCACTTCTCCGGGGACGTGGTGCTGGCGGCGCGGGACGCGGAGCGCGGCCGGGCGGCCGTGCAGCAGCTGCAGACGGAGGGCCTGAACCCGCGCTTCCACCAGCTGGACATCGACGACCCGCAGAGCATCCGCGCGCTGCGGGACTTCCTGCGCCGCGAGTACGGCGGGCTGGACGTGCTGGTCAACAACGCGGGCATCGCCTTCAAAAGTAAGGCGCTGGGGCGGGCTTGCTAGGGGCGCCCCCGCAGAGGCCGGGCGGGGCCGCTGGCGACTCCGGGGTGTCGGGAGAGACCCCTGGATGGAGAGGCACCCGAGGTGAGAGCGGAGTCCGACCGGACTTGGAGGACTTTGCATCTGATAGACCTTCACATTTCCCCGGCTCACACTTTTCCACATTTCTTCAAACGCTTTCTCGACGATTGAATTCAGAGCAGTCAAGGAAACTTTTCAGTGTGTGTTTACAAACACTGAGACGTTGCAAAATAAAGTCCACAAGTTCTTGTGTGTACCAGCCGCCCCATGGGAGCCCCCTTTGAACTAGAGAACCTCACACCAGAAAACGGCCATCCAGCACGCTCCTTGGCATTCACTGGGTGTCACATGCACTATTTGGGTGGGGTGGGGTGGGGTGGGGCACCCCAGGGGGGGAGGGTGTTAATCTATCTGTAGAACTTGATGACATTGTTACAACAGTTGAATCACTCTGTTCTTTCCTCCCCCGAAGATGCTGATCCCACACCCTTTCATATTCAAGCCGAGGTGACCCTGAAAACCAACTTTTTCAGTACCCGGAACATCTGCACAGAATTACTGCCTCTCATAAAGCCCCAAGGTAAGTCTGAGCTGCGGAACACCAGTGTGGCCCCCGCCCCTGCTGGAGCTGACCTCTGCCTGCCTCCCTCAGCTCTGTGCCTCCTCCCAGGCGTGGTTCAGCTGAGGACTTTGCCCTCCTCCAAGGCCCATCTTGGCTGCTCTCCTGCAGGAGACCTTTGCACGCCTGGGTCCTTCTTACCTTGGTTCTAGTGCCCCAAACGTTGGATTCTCATAGGACTCATCTGTTGTCACCTCTTCTTCCTCTGCTCCCAGAGTGAACTTTCTCAGTCCAGGGAGCTGGTCTCCTTTGGGTGGCAGCAGCATTTTTACTAGTTTATTGAACAAACATTTCCAATGATATTTTATTGTGTTCTCGGTGATGAGTTACAGTGACCAAAAATAATTTCAATAATGTCTACACAGACTGTCCAGCAACATTGCTGATATTCTCCACAACCTGTGAACGTCCTCATGATTTCTGGTCTAGTGGTTCCGTTTCCAGCTATCTGGTGTCCCTGCCCTGTTGTCCTCTCTTCTTGCTTTAGAATAATTGTTGGCCATCTGATCTCCTATTGATGTGTTTTAAAAGAAACTTAGTACACATGGGTGAGACTCCTTGTCTTGTGACTTAATCTGTTATTTAATTTTAATGGGGGAAAACAGCCTTATTCTTTTCATTCGTAACATTTGTGAGCATTTACAATATTAATGGAACTTAAGGTTTTTTTCATTTTTTTAAGGAATGCTAGATATGAATAAGAATATAATTAAAATAATGACCCAAACTATTATGTCCAAAAATTATAGCTAAATACTTGGTGTTAGTCTATCTCCAAATGGTCCAAGATTTTGATAGAAAGTACTTTGGCTGCAAGGATGAGCATTTGATTTCCTCCAGTAATAGAAATCTCTCTTAATCCTGGAGAGCTGTTCCTTGGGTCGTTGTTTCTATTTTCATTTTCATGCTGTTGGTTTCGGCATAGCTGTCTGCAAGAATGGGAGGAAGAGGAGGTTTCCACTCCTGCCAAGAGTTCCAGTCTCAGATACCCAACAGGGCAATTCCGCCCTGCCCTAGAGTTGATGTGAGTGAGCTCAGATGCCACGGGAGTGAGGTGCTTTGTGTTGTTGTTCTGTTTTTAATCTGCAAGAATGGGACCAAAAGCATTCTTTACCAAAGTAACTAGGCTAATATTTGGAGAATGACAAAGGTCAGTGTAGCATACCCAAATGAATATTTAATTCCTTTCTTTAGGACGAATTCCTTGTTTTTTCAAGGAGTATCTTCATCAAAATAAGTATATGTCCACAAAGTAGGCTTTCTTTGAATAACAAATTACTTGCTAATGCTTAGAGTTCTATTTGCACATTTCTCAAAGGGGGCAGAATTATAACCAGATTTTGAAACTACACTTGAATAAATACCCCCAAAGCTATTAGTCTTTAGGTATAGCCTAAAAATTAATTTTTAACAAGCTTAAAATTAATTTTTCATCTAAGCAAGTTGTCTATTTGTTGTAATTGCAATAAAAATTACAGAGAACAGGTTTTCAGGAGAGAGCTATCAAAATGCTGTGGTTGAATTTCAAAATATACTTCCTAGTCTCACACACAGAAAAAGGTCTGAAAAGTTGAGAAACTACACCAGAACTGTAAGTATTACCCTTCACGTCTTAGGGTCTGTGCAAGCTCAGAATCTAACCTTCCTTACTCTTCAAACTTCCAATAAAAGAACTGAAAAGTGAAGAAGTAAAAGTACCAAAAGCTGCCCTGGCTCTTCAAGCAGTTGGGAGAAGGGGTGCATGGTCCTGAGGAAGATGTGTCCCCCCACTTCCTCCCTAACAAGGTCTGCAAGTCCTAGTTTGTCACACACACCCCCTCACCCCCAGATCAACAACCCCTGCTTAGCATGAAAGGAGTTTCTCAGGCAAGTTGTCAAGGGGCGTGTCATATACGGATTGTTTTTATGGAAAAATACACCTGTTAACTAGTGTTTCTTGTCAGATCTTGTTTCTTCTGTATAAACATTTCCACTTATATAACACTGAGTTCATTTTTCCTACATTCTCCTTCCTGTGCCAATGAGTGTCACTACAGCAAGCTGTTCTTGGTTCCATTTCTTGACAAAAGCTAATATTCCACTCCATCCTCCAGCACTTTACTTTCCTCACCTGGAATGCAGTAAATGGAATTGTACCTGAATGGGGTCAGGTCTCATTGGAGAGAACCACTCTCTGACGCCCGCTGAGCCAGTCTTAGGCAAGTAGAGCCTTCTAGGAGGACCAGGCTGGGAGAAGGGGGTGAGGTGAGATGTGAGGCCATCAAGCAGACTGGAGGGCACACTGTACAAGCATGTCCTCCGTTCAAAGCCCCGCTTCAAACTACCTAAGTGGGGCAGCTTGCCTTTCCGGATGCACGTTTACTGGATTGGTGTGCCCCTCCCTAGCCGGGCCTTAGGGTCAGGAGCATAAAAACAGTCCGCTAGAGCACACTGAGCAGGGTGATGGGGCGGAGAAGGAGCCTGCTCTCGGGCAGAGTCGGGTGACAGAGATGCTTGTAAACCATACCCAGCAGCTTGGATTTCCTTCCTGAGGGGTTTTCAAGAGGGGATGTCTGCTGGTCAGTGGAGACAGGCAAGGGAAGGAAGACTAGAAAGGCGACTACTCAGGGGGTTTTGCATTGGTCCAGAAATGACTGTACAGACTGAGGGAAAGCGGGGATGGAGAGAAAGTGGTAGGCAAACTCCCAAGATGTGACTACTGAATTAAAGGGGGTGCAGCTTGGTGAGAGGATGATGGGGTCTCAGCAAGATGGTACAGAGGATGGTACTAACATGCTAGCACCTCTCCACTTGAACCCTGTATTAGTCTAGGTACTTTGGAGAAACAAATCCACAGCAACTCATGTATAAGAGAGTTTTATGTAAAGAACGTGTGCATCACGAAAACATCCCAACCCAATGCTGCCCAAGCCCACAAGTCCAACATTAACCCATTAACCCAGCACCAGTCCACAAAGTCCTCCACCTCACAAAACAGAGACAATGATGCTGACTGCAGGAGGAAAGCTGAGTCAGTGAACGAATAAGCATCTCAACACTAGCAGGGGTCTCCACACGGCTGCTCCAGCACCCAGGGCTGCATCGGGATAGGTCCATGTGACTTCTCCTTGGGGATGTCTTGTAGGAAGTCAATCTTGCAAGCTGAAGCAGGGAACTGCTATGGCAGCTGCACCCGATGCGACCATCACAAAGCAAGAGACCCGAGAACTAGAAAGGGGAGGCTCACCAAGCCATTTATCCCTCCGCCCTTCAATTAATCCCACATGTGTTTATTGGCCAGGTTGGCACAATAAACTAACTCACCTTCCTTCCCTGTGTCCTCATGTTCAGCTTACAGAGAGCATCTTCAAATACCTTACTCCAAAGTCATGCTCACAGATAACCAATGGTAGGACTTCAACGCGAATCCTTTGCAGAGCCGTCACTCAATACGTAACCAGCTCCTTATGCCACCACCACACCACGTGCATACATTTGTCATATGACTCATGCTGGGTCCATTTGGCTTTGTTAATAGTTTTCTTTGAATGATTAGTGTTTTACTCAACTGCATGATGATGATTAAACTCCTATTTGCACATTTCTCAGAGGGGTCGGAATTACAACCAGAACTGATTCCATTTAGACCTGTCTCACAAAGAACAATCCCCAAATGGAATTATATCTGTAGATGTAAAGGTTCGGGTCCCAATGCTTATTTTGGGAGTTGGGGTGCACAGTTTATCCCATGACCTGCCCATTACCTCAGGCTGGTTCAAAACAGCCAACCCCATGACTCGGGTAGCAGAAAATATCCGGAAGTAGAAGGCTCAGTGCACTGATTGTCGTAGGGAAGAAAAAAGGGGTTTGTGCCTTTAAGGATTCCTTAAGGCTCACAGCAGACAGACAGGTGTGGATTTTTTTTTAACACTTTTGAAAATCCTGTCTTTAAAAACAAATTTAAATAAATTAATAATTTTTAATATATACTCACACCAAAAACTAGGAATATTGCTACAACTCCCAAGTACCCATGCCTTAAATTAAAGTATCAGACAACAGCAATGCCATTTAAGCCCCTTAATTAGTCCTTCCTAATTGGTCTCCTTCACATTCCCCCAAGCCGCCACGCTGAATTCGAGAGGATATTTTTACTTAATGCTGCTGGGGCTTAGGGTTTGGGTTGGTTGGTTTTCTCTTCAAGTTATATTTTGTATTTTTTTTGAAAAGCAAGGCGTTCTAAACCAAGACTTAACAAGGTACTGCTTTTTCAGCTTTCAGAAGTCAACGTCACTGGACTGTTTAGGGAAACCTGGTGGTAAAGTCTGGGGCTGCTGGGCCATGAGCACCCCAAGTGGCTGGTTGTTCAGAGCAGAGACTGAGCTCCTCACAATCATGGGTTCTAAAGGTGCAACTCGGGGCCTCACCTCTGGGGCTGGTTGCCCTGCGCCCCACTCCTGTTTCCAGTGTCTGCTCGTGGTGGGCGTCAGCATTCCTTTGCTTGTAGATTGTCTCCTTCGTGGTGCTTGTCTTCCCCTCTGGGTGACTCATCAGGTTGATGACCCACCCTACTCTGGTCTGGCCGCTTTAGCACAACTAAGTGTACCCCATTTTCAGACAGGACTTCAGGAGATCTGTGGGGACACAAATTAATCTATGACATCTACTCCCACCACTTTGTGATTCTGTAAAGAGTGGGTGGAACAGGCGTGATTTGATGCTGCCTCCAATGAACTTTATAAATATTTCCATTGTACTGAAGAGAGCACTGACGCGCAAATTATCTCCGGGTCCCTAGCGCAGTTGGGATCTAGAACTCGTTCTGTGACTCCCAGAGTGAATGATCCCCTTCCCCTCACCCCCACCCCACCTCGTCTGGCGCGTGCACACACACACACACACACACACACACACACACACACAGCCATTCTCAACACCAGACAGTGATACCTCCATTGTCCAATGGCTCCTAGCTAGAACATTCCACCATTCAAACAGCATGTTGGAGGAAATCTCATCAGGTTTCACAACTTTGCAGGATACGCAAACCGAATAGCCGCCATGAAAAGACCCTGTATGTCTTGAAAGTAACTTTTGCCTCGGTCGATACAAACATGTGATGCTTCAGTGTAAGTGCCACTCTTGCTCAGTAACATACAGTGCTTGTGTCGGTGCATTAAAACATCAGTCACTGGGCCTCTTTAAAATTTCTTTTTATACACTTTGTTTTTGTAAATAAACTGTCTCCAAAGAAAGTTAGTGATACTATTAGTAAAGCTAAGAGGACAACTGAGAATCACAATAAAATTCAACAAAGCAACCATTGAACATTTGGATGTAGTTGCTGGGTTTGCTTTTACTCAAATAATTTTCTTTATATGAAATGAGTAAATCTATACAGGCAACAGATTAATAGCTTGTTAGGATTAGAATGGGAGTTAATAATAATGGCTATAATTTGGAGAAATTGTTGATTAGGTGATGAATGTACAACTCTTAACTATACTTAAACACAGAATTGTCTGATACATGAGTGATTTGGCAAATAAACCTCCCCGCCCCCCCTTTTGAATGTAATAGAAAAGCCAGATGCAGACTTAGTTCCTCCGCCTGCAGTTATAATGTTATAGAAACGACTTAGTTCCTCTGCCTGCAGTACTGAAATCCCATGAAGTTTTTGAGCACAGTTACTCAGAGCTCACAAGTAGCCCTGTATCTCAATTGCCTTGGATCCTTGCTTTGGACCCTGAGCATCTGGGCAGTGAGGCGCCCATCCTGAAGGTCAGGACTGTCTACAAGTCAGTCCCGCCACAGCTGGGGCTCAGTGCACAGTTAACTCGGTGGCATGCTACACTGGCAGTGTTGTGCAGCCATCACCAGTGTCGACGTCAAGAGGTTTTCGGGTGTTCATCCCAAGTGGAAATGTTAGGATATTTTTAATATAACAATCTGTGGAAAAGATAGCCATTTATTTTGGCCATCAGGAGCTGATAGAAACTCGACAGTCTTGGTGTTTGATACTGGCCTTTGCCGTGCCTGTCTTTTCTATATAATGGCGTTTGTTGTATTTTAGGTAGAGTGGTCAATGTGTCCAGCATGGTTAGTGTCCGTGCACTGAAGTCCTGCAGCCCGGAGCTGCAGCAGAAGTTCCGCAGTGACACCATCACGGAGGAGGAGCTGGTGGCCCTCATGAACAAGTTCGTAGAAGACACAGAGAAAGGGGTGCACCAGAAGGAGGGCTGGCCCAACACTGCCTATGGCGTGTCGAAGATCGGCGTCACCGTGCTGTCCAGGATCTACGCCAGGAACCTGAGTGCACAGCGGCCAGGCGACAAGATCCTCCTGAATGCCTGCTGCCCCGGGTGGGTGAGAACTGACATGGCGGGGCCCAAGGCCACCAAAAGCCCAGAAGAAGGCGCAGAGACCCCCGTGTACTTGGCCCTCTTGCCCTCAGATGCTGAGGGGCCTCACGGGGAGTTTGTTTCGGAGAAGAAAGTTGAGCCGTGGTGAGCGTGACACACACAGCGTCATCCTTGGGCGCCATTTTGTTCCTACCTTGATTAAACTATAGAGCATTTATCTGATGCTTGTCGACATTTCTAATTCTACTAATTCTTTCGTGATTCCCCCTCCACCTCCTACCCCAGATGTTGTTAGGGAAAAAATATGTGTAATCTGTGGCCAAAAGTTAGTAGATGAATAAAAGTGGTTCTTGATAATGCCTGGTTTTGTGTGGATTATTTGCATGCCGAACCTTTAAAAAGGCTCCAGCGTAAAAAAGAAAGAGAAACTGCGATTATCCGTTAGATTCCATTTCAACTTATGGCAACTCGAGTCAGTGGAACTGTGTTCTGTAGATCAGCGGGCCTTCTTCTGGGTGTCTTGGATGGACTTAACCCCAGTCTTTTGGTTAGCAAAATATGTTATTAGAGATGCTATACTACCTAATAATTAGGTCCAAAGGACGGGATATTATGACCTAGAGATTGGCAACCTTTTTCTGGACTGGGCCCAAATTCATCTTTATTTTGACCTTTGAAGACCACGTGGTCCCTGTCATAGGACAATGTGTGAACCATGAGTGCAGAGGGTCATGTCCACGGGCTACCTTACCAGACTCTTGAACAATATGAACCCTGACACGGGCAATACATGGAGGTCTAACTCTGCCAGGGAATTTCTCAGCTCCTGAGAGCCAGTTAACAGTGGTCTCCAGGTGTGAAGGGAGAGCTTGACCCACACTGCTAGTGTCCTCTGTGAGCCAAGACAAGGGGCTTTCTGAAGACTAATGGAACACGGAAGTTTCTGTCTGCCTCTCATTTCCTTGAATTCACTCATGAATCCAAAATGGTTGGGACTTTGAAGATTAAATGACCTTGAAAAACCAATTTTTAAAAAGTACTGTCAAGTTCTATCTGACTGATGATGAGCCCGTGTGTGCAGAAGTAGAACCGGTCCACTGGGTTTTCCTCCTTTCATGAGGAAATTAATAGACCTTTGCATAGGAACATCTGGACTCATTGAAAACCTTTTGGTTACCAGCTGAACATGCCAACGGTTTGCACCATGGAGGCAGATAACATTTGCAGAACAGCCCCCAGTACACATGTGCTGCTGCTGCTGCTGCTGCTGCTCTTTTGAATGTCAGTTTGGGGAGTGCTCCTTTGGATTGGGTTGTGCTTCCTTTTTATTTTTAAGACCAGACATTGGCCTGCTCATGAGGAATGGAGTGTTCCATCCTAACCAGACTGGTTTGTAATCTCTAAAACAGTAAGTGCTTAAACCACTGGGCATCATCTCATTTGTTTGTTTGAAACCATTTGTGTCACAAAATAATTGAAGTCAGCTTAAATTTTCCTTTTTCTTCTTATAACCACTCAGTCCAGTGTTATATCTGATGGGTAAGGGATTTTTAAGGCTCGCTTTAAACATCTTTCTCCCTTATGTTTGTGGAATATAACACTATGCATAACGTTATACATGTTCATTGCAGCAGAACAGTGATAGTATCCTAGTAAACCCCACTCAAATCCAGTGTATGTGGTTCTTATTTTTCCCAGCCACACTCACCACCTCCTTCCTCTTGGTCCCTCCTGTCTCCCCAGCCCTCTGCCCCCAGCCTTGTGATGGTCTTCAAAATCCTTTTCTTTGGTGTGAAAACCATTCTTGGTTTTTTCCCCTTTATAATAATGATGTTATGCAATAATTATCTTTATGAGACTGACTGAATTTGCTGACTAATGTCTTCCTATTTTGTCCATATCATGAGGGTATTTTTAAGTTTAATAGAAAATTCTCTTGAAATTTTTATTTATGTTTAATAACAATAACCTATTCCATCTTTTCGGTTTTTAGGGAATTAAAAATTTTTAACATATTTTAAAAGCACTTATGTAAGTCTAGTATTATTGTAATGTAATCATTTGTGTCTTCAATTCCATGAGTTTGATTAATTTATTTTGAGCGACTTTCCTTGTGTGCGTAGCTGTCTATAATGGTTATGTCTTCATGCTCAGTCATGGCTTTCTTCATTATAATGGTCTTTTTGTCTCTCACAATGCCTTTTATTTTGATTTCTATTTTGTCAGAAATTAATATTGCTCACCCTGATTGATTTTGACTACCTTTAGCTTGATATTTTCCATCCTTTGATTTTTAGCCTATTTTAGCCTGTTTGTCTTGAAATCTGAGGTGTGTTTCCTATAACAAAGCATATTACTGGCTCATGTTTTCTTATCCCTTTTCCTAATCTGTCTGTAACAGTAGAATTTAATCTATTTACATTCAATTTTTTTATTGATAGGTATAATTTTATTTTTGGCATTTGTGATATTTTTATGGTGGTGTTAATCTTTTAACAATTTTCTGTGCTGCTTTCTTTTTGTTTATGGATTTTCCTGTCAATTTTTCTTTGCTAATTTATTCTTATTTTACTGTTTAATAGGACTTTATTGTTTTCCTCTTTTTTATTTTGTTGAGGTTTTAACATTTTCTTTTTCTTTTCTTTCTTTATTTTTAAAATAACTTTATTGGGGGCTTGTCCAACTCTTGATCACAATCCATCCATTGTGTCAAGCACATTTGTACATTTGTTGCCATCATCATTCTCAAAACATTTTCTTTCTACTTGAGCCCTTGGTATCAGCTCCTCATTTCCCCCCTCTCTCCCCCACTCTTCCTCCCTCACAAACCCTTGATAATTTATAAATTATTATTATTTTTTCATGTCTTACACAGTCTGATGTCTCCCTTCACCCACTTTTCTATTGTCCATCCCCCAAGGAAGGGGTTATATGTAGGTCATTGTGGTCGGTACCCCCTCTCTCCCCCACCTTACCCTTACCCTCCTGGTATCTCTACTCTCATTATTGGTCCTGAGGGGTTTATCTGTCCTGGATTCCCTGTTTTTACAGCTCTGATCTGTACCAGTGTACATCCTCTGGTCTAGCTGGATTTGTAAGGTAGAATTTGGATCATGATAGTGGGGGTGGGGAGGAAGCATTTAAGAACTAGAGGAAAGTTGTATGTTTCATTGTTGCTACATCACATCCTTACTGGCTTGTCTCCGCCCAGCGACCCTTCTGTAAGGGGATGTCCAGTTGCCTGCAGATGGGTTTTGGGTCTCCACTCCACACTCTCCCTCATTCACAATAATAAGATTTTTTGTTCTTTGATTCTTGATCCCTGATCCTATCTACACCTCTTGATCACACGGGCTGGTGTGCTTATTCCATGTGGGCTTTGTTGCTTCTCAGCTAGATGGCCACTTGTTGATCTTCAGGCCTTTAAGACCCTAGACTCTATATCTTTTGATAGCCAGGCACTATCAGCTTTCTTCATTACATTTTCTTATGCATCGCTTTGGCTTCAGTGATCATGTCAGAAAAGCGAGCATCCTAGAATGCCAGTTTAATAGAACAAAGTGTTCTTGCGTTGAGGGAGTACTTGAGTGGAGGCCCAATGTTCATCTGCTACCTAAATACTAAACCTATAAATATATACACATAGATCCATTTCCCCATCATCGTATATAAACATATTTACACATGTACATGCCTGCATTTAGACCTCTATAAATGCCTTTTGCCTCCTAGTTCTTTCCGCTATTTCTTTTTACTTTCCTTTTGTCCGTCATGTTCAGCCTTCATTTGGATTTCAGTAATTCCTCTTGGTTACATAGCCCTTGATCAAACCCTACCAAGCCTCCTACACCCTCCTCACCATCGATTTTAAATCACTTGTTGCTCTTTTGTTCCTGGGAGTTGTAACACCCACTTCTTTTCTCCCAACTCCCCCTCTCCCCTGCCTCCCCAGAACCATCGGTCCTGTTGTTTTCTCCTCCAGATTGTTTACCCTGCCTATCTTATCTAGATAGACCTGCAGAGATAATAATATGCACACAAAAAACAAGACAGAGCAAAACAAAACAACAAAACCAATGACAAAAAAAAAAAAACCAAAACCCTGTAAATAGTTCAAGGTCTGTTTGTTGATCTTTAGAAGTGTTCCAGCTGAGTGTGATGGGGTGCCATGCCCTGGCTCCAAAGTCTATTTTTGGTATTCCCCGGGGACTTCGTTCCCCTTGGGGACTCTGTTCCCCTTGCTGTTCTGTTGCACACCCTTAGTGTTTTGCCTCAGTGTGGTGGTGTCAGATCAGGTGCAATTCCCTTATTGTTTCTCCAGTGTTGTCCCCTGTAGTGCTTTGGGTCAGCGAGGGACATCATGTCTCCTAGTGGGGCTGGCCCTATGGTCCTCTCTGTGCTTTGACTGCTCTGAGTGGGATTATTGTCCTCAGGGCCTGGTGGGCCAGGATGTATTCCATTCTATCTTCCTCCCCCTTCATTTGTTCCCGTGTGCTCTGATCAGACATGTCCTTCTCCCTGAGCTGTAGCTTCAGTACTGTCCTCTGAAGTGAATTCTTCTGTGGGGAATGGGGGCTGTCCACATACTTGGGATTGGGGCTGGCCCCTCAGACCTTTCTGTACTTGGAGGTTTTAACAGTTTCTTTAAATTTTATTTTTCACTTGTTTTCTTTCAAAGTGTGGGAGTTTTTTTGCACCTTGCTAACATATATCTATTCTTTTATTTTCTTTCTGTCTTCATTATAAAATGTTACCTGTGGTTCCTTATTTTGAATCATATGATTTTTGTTATACTTTGTGTTATTTAAGTAGGATGATTTATTGATAATAATCCCTGTGTGATTATTTTAGTTTACTATGTATTGTTGATTCTATGTCCAAATAACTCCCTTGATTATCGATTGCAAGGCTGGTCTTGTTTTAAGTAATTTCTTTAGTTTTTCCTTTCCTGAAAGTAAATTTATTTCTCCTTCATATTGGAGGGAAGATTTTGCTGGATATGGCATGCTTGAGTTTTGAGAACATCTCAAGAACAGATTTGACGCATTGAACAGAAGACCTGATGAATTTCGCAGACATCAAGACCACCATTAACAAAGAAAGTAAAAGGTCATTAAAAAGACAAGAATGAAATAAAAGATCAACGTGGATGTCAGAAGAGACTCTGAAACTTGCTCTTAATCTTAGCGTAGAATAGCTAAAGCAAATATAGGTAAAGCAAATGGAAGAAAGGATGAAGTCAAGGTGCTGAACAGAAAATTCCAAAGGGCAGGTCAAGAAGACAAAACCAAATATTATAACAAAATGTGCACTGACCTAGAATTAGAAAACCCAAAGGGAAGAATACATTCAGCCTG